CCCCTGGTTCCAACCCGCATGCACGTCTCCAAAAGGTACAGACGCCCGCAAGAGAAGAGAGAGAGAGAGAGAGGCAGCGGAGGCAGGGGGAGGAAGCGAAGGAGAGGGAAGGGAGCGGAGGGAGGAGGAGAAGGGGGAAGAAGGGGAGAACCTTAGCTGCCCCGAAACGCAACCCGCAACACGCAGCGCATTGATATGGAACTCAACACGGAGATCGAAAACGTACAATTGGCTCGACACGCTCGCCGAAACATGGGCCAACACGTTGAGCCAAGGCGCAGCGTGTCAATGCGGGCGCATCAGGGCAGCCAAAGGGAGGACGGGAAGAACAATGAAGATGGGAAGGAGGTGGACGGCCGACTCGGGTCATGGAAAAATCTCGGCGGGAGGTCTGTCGCTATTTTCGGACCCTGGGAGCCCCTACACGGCCTCGGGACCGTCAAAAAACGACTCGGGATAAAAAGCCGATCATGGGGAATGGGTCGAGATCTTTGGGCGTCGACGTCATGAAAATTAGCCTGGCGAATGACCCAACCATCTGCACTTGTGAGTACCGTCGTAGTACGACCGCACTCGGAGAAGCTCCCTATAGGGCCACGAAACGACTGAGGGGTGTGCATATGTTTGTCTGGTGGGCGTATGCGAAAGCAGCCACTGGGACCGTCGGTGGAATTCCCTATGGGGCCACGAAACGCGTGAGAGGTGTGCCGAAATAGGTGCTGCGAACGCAGCCATTGGGGCCGTCGGTAGAGCACCCTATGGTACCGCGAAGCGTGTGATGGGTGTGCCACAATGGGCGCGGTGGGCGCATGCGAACGCAGCCACTGGCGCCTTCGGTGGAGCTCCCTGTGGGGCCACGGAACGTGTGAGTGGTGTGCCAGAATAGGCATGGGTGACGCATGCGGGCGGTGGCACTGGGGCGTTCGGTGGAGCGCCCTATGGGGCCACGAAACGTGCGAGGGGAGTGCCGAAATGGGTGTGCGTGACGCGTGCGGGCGGTGGCACTGGGGCCTTCGGTGAAGCTCCCTGGGGCCACGAAAGGTGTGACGGGTGTGCCGAAATTGGTGTGCGTGGCGCATGCGGGCGGTGGCACTGGGGCCTTCGGTGGAGCTCCCGATGGGGCCACGAAACGTGTGAGGGGTGTGCCGAAATGGGTGTACGAGGCGCATGCGGACGGTGGCATTGGGGCCTTCGGTGGAGCCCCCTGTGGGGCCACGAAACGTATGAGGGGTGTGCCGAGATGGGTGTGCGTGACGCATGCGGGCAGTGGCACTGGGGCCTTCGGTGGAGCTCCCTGTGGGGCCACGAAACGTGTGAGGGGTGTGCCGAAATGGGTGCGTGACGCATGGGGGCGGTGGCACTGGGGCCTTCGGTGGAGCTCCCTATGAGGCCACGAAACGTGTGAGGGGTGTGCCCAGATGGGTGTGCATGACGCATGCGGGCGGTGGCACTGGGGCCTTCGGCGGAGCTCCCTGTGGGGCCACGAAACGTGTGAGGCGTGTGCCGAAATGGGTGTGCGTGATGCATGCGGTCGGTGGCACTGGTGCCTTCGGTGCCTATGGGGCCACGAAGCGTGTGAGGGGTGTGCCGAAATGGGTGTACGTGACGCATGCGGGCAGTGGCACTGGGATCTTCAGTGGAGCTCCCTGTGGAGCCACGAAACGTGTGAGGGGTGTGCCGAAGTGGATGTGCGTGGCGCATGCGGGCGGTGGCACTGGGGCCTTCGATGAAGCTCCCTGTGGGGCCACGAAACGTGCGAGGCGTGTACCGAAATGCGTGTGCGTGACGCATGCGGGCGGTGGCACTGGGGCCTTCGGTGGAGCTCCCGATGGGGCCACGAAACGTGTGAGGGGTGTGCCGAAATGGGTGTGCGTGGCGCATGCGGACGGTGGCACTGGAGCCTTCGGTGGGGCTCCCTGTGGGGCCACAAAACGTGTGAGGTTTGGCCAAAGTGAGGGGAGTAACGGGAGGAGGGAGGAGGGAGGGGAGGAGGGGGAGGAGGAGGAGGAGGAGGAGGAGGAGGAGGAGAAAGAGGAGGAAGAGAAGGAGGAGAGGAGAGGAGAGGAGAGGAGGAGAGGAACGCGGCGACCGTCTCTTCAAAACGAGGACCCAGCACCACAGGATGGTTGGGAAAAATGACGTCGCCTATTCGAGACCCAGGTAATGCCTGGGGGGACATTACGGCAAGCGGTTGGACTTCACGTGATGCGTTTAGGGGGCGCGTTAAGAAGGAAAGAGCGATGAAGAAGAGGAGTGGCGAGGTGTAGGAGGATAGAGCGGAGGAGGAAGGGGAGTGAGGAGTATGATGGCGCGCAGAAAAGGGTAGAGAAGAGGGAAGAAGAAGAGGCGGAGCAACCGCAATGGCAGCAGATGGCAGCTCTTCCGGGGCGGGCCCTGGGTTAGCCGTGGAGTTTGGATCCCCAGTCGGGGTAGAGGTAGGTTTGCTGAGCGGACCACCTCTTGGTAGGAACCAGAGGAACCAGGGGAAGAGGAAGAGAAA